CATGTCCAAACAAGATGTTAGATGGTATACTAATCCATTTCAAACCAGCATGGGAAATAAAATTTACTTACACTAGATGCCGTGAGCGTGTCTAGCTTGTTCGTGAACTCAATGTACGCCCGCTCTAACCTCGCATGCAGAACCCTGACTTGGTCCCAAAGGTACGCCCACGTCGGCTACTGACGTGGAGGCTGACCTGGGAACCACTCACGATGAGCCAGAACCTCAAGATGACCAACTGGTAGACGAGCCCACATCCACAACTGGAGCAGGTACACGCATCCACCAAGTGACGCTGTGGACGAAGTCCGACGACATCCCTCGCAAAGCTACCGGTAAAGGAAACCCAAGACTGCAGAGCCCCAGCTGTACTGACCCGCCTGGTCCCAGTCACTGAGGCAGTGAACCCACATCCACGATGCAGTGTCACCCATGGCATCGGGGAAGAGAATGCAGGCAAATAGGTGTAGAATTCACGCCCTGTAGTAGTACCCAACTGTCTCCTCATCTGCCTCCTTGGGGCACTGTGCGAACTTTTGCTGGAGCTAGGAGATGAGAACTCCAGAAGTGCGGGCTCCTTGCTCGCCAACCTTATGTCCAAGGAAGGCCTTCACTTATGCTCTCTAGCCTTCTGACCTACACTGCCCGGTGACTGCGTTGCCGTGAATCCTTAGGCCTAGCATCTTCTGACTGTCCTAGAGCGTGACTGTCATCTTCCCGAAAGGTAGGTGGAAGCTGGGGGTCTCTGGCCACCACATATATTTTAGACAAAGCAAGATTACATGTTAAAAAGGCAAGCGCATGAACAAACGGCCATGAATGGAGGCAATGATTAAATATAATACCTGTCAACCAACGCAGTTATGGCCGCTGAGTTGAACTTGGGTAACCCACGACGAACCTGAAAAGAGATGACATCCAGGCTAGCTCTTTGCAGGAAAGGAGTTTACCTATCGTCGTACTACATGTCCAAGAACCCATTGTGGATTCTAGGACGAAGGAGCAGAAGGTCCTGCATGGAATGAAACATAGTCTCCTGTTACTTCACGAACACATATACACTCACCAAAATTTGAACAAAACATATAGGTTATTACCTCGTTCTTTCGGGTATCTGATCCATAACCATCTTATGCCTCGTCCTCTTCCTTGATCCACGCTTGTTCCAATGATAAGCTGGATCCGCAATGTACTTTGGCCCATCATATGGAGGCCACTCTCCAGGGTCCTGGAAAGGCACGAAGCAGGGGCTCCTTATGTGCACAAGCGTGTCGACACTGAACTCATGAGGTATCCTGCTCTCGATATTATAGTTGCGATGCCTTACTGCTGCCATCAAATGGAAACATAGAAAGTGATACTGCCTTGGTTTACCACAAGTGCATTTGAAATCTTGGAGGATAACCACATGCATCCTTGACTCTCGGACCTCGCCGTCGAACGTTGTACCGCCCCTATGCTCCACCTGATAAGTCCCTATGGTGTGGTCAAAGCATGTAACCTCATGTGTGCCAACCCTTTCATTTGCCTTCTCTATGTGTGTCTTTGGTTTCGGAGCCCATATCTCTCCATCACTCCGCAACTTCAATGCATGGGCATGTCTATTGTTGAACCAGACAACAAGCTTGTAGAAGGTGAATTGAATGATTGTATTCATAGGCATACCACGTATCCCCAATAGCAACTTATTGAATGACTCCGCCATGTTGCTGCACTGAAACTCATACCTCCATCCACCGGCATCGTGAGCTCTCGTCCATTTCTCCAAATCCCTCATCAAACCTATGAGCCATTGTCTACCTTCTGTATTTGATGTGGTTCTGACTTGCTCCAACTTTTTTTTGAAATTACTTGTCCTCAAGCTATCGAGCAGCCTCCTAGAACAAATCAAAGTTACCCTTCACACCATCCTTCTAGAGTAGATTCTCGGCAATGCGTCGAGTACACCAACGATGGTGCAAAGGTGCATGCCCCTCTATCTGCTCTCACATGGCATTAAGTATGCCCTGGTGCCTATCAGATATGACGCCAACATCCCTACCAAGCCCAACCACATGTATCCATACTAGCCTCAAGAACCATCCCCAACTGTCATTGTTCTCCTTCTCAACCAAATCAAATGCCAAAAGAACCAACTTGTTGTTCGCGTCATAGGATATGGCTATAAGAAGTGTGCCTTGGTATTTGCCAATCAAGAACGTACCATCAATGAAGAAGACTGGACGACAGTACCTAAAGGCCTCGATATACTGAGGGAAGCACCAGAAAGCATGGAAGAATATCTGCCTCCCATCATTCCATGCATTTGGTTTTGGGATGTACTCATAATACATGTCTAGATTCACCGCTTTGATCGCATTGAAGAGTACTGGCAGCTGCTCATACCCATCCTCCTAGTCCCCATATATCATCTTCCACGCTCAGTGCTTAGCCCTCCAAGCTTTACCATAAGTTATCACATAACCTTCATACAATGCCTCAATGGTCCTGATAATTGTCCTAACCTTCATGTTGGGTTCTCCCTGCAATATTTCCATCAACCGCTTGACAATGAGGGTAGATGTCAACTATCGATGCCTCAATATCAGCACAATTGTGTGGTCCGATAACTTTTGTGATCTTCTACTTTTCGGTGACCTTTTGCTTCCTTGCACATACCCTCCATGGGCAGCGTTCCTTGTCACACACAACTATGTAACGGCGCTCCGCATATAAATGCAAGACCTTGTAAGGTCTCTTTCGTATCACTGCAAACACCTACAATCACCTTTTTAATGCAGGGAGGTCCTTAAACACCTCCTATTCTCAATTACCATGTTAAGGCTGGTCTCAGGAGCTTCTAGGAGCTCATCATCACGTTCTTCTGCACACGCCTGATCAAAATGAGCAAGATCGCTGAACTTGTGAACTCATGGATGACGGCAGCCCGGAAAGATACGCCTCAGCATCTCAACATCACTCTCTGTCAACTCTCCAACAGGGCGATCATCATCAAAATCAAGAGCCCTTGCTATCTCATATGGCTCTGAATCATGCATAATTTCAACACTATTGGAGCCATGAAATCCATCTTCACAGTGCACTTGCGCAGTAACAGGGGGCACATCCATATTCTCAGGAATGTCTCCTGCAACATAAGTAGAGAAATGAGGAAAGAATGAAAGAAATGGATGTAAGAAAGGGGGTAAGGTCCCAATAACCATGCGGTTAAGACACTTACTCGGATGATTCTATGTCAAAGAGATCTCATGAGAAGGATCTGCCACAATAACATGAGTTTAACAAGCATCTTCAACTACCACATTGGGGACATATTGAGCATCGGGAACCGTAGGTGCAACCTCCACATCCATATCAGGTTCTGGGAAGGGAGGGTCGATGTGTGTCTGCTGACCCATTGGTGGGGAAAACCCATGAGGGATGGGATCGACTAACTCTCGACGCACAACCACGTTCAAACATTGCAGCTGGCTCTTCATAGCTGATCTTACATAGTTCTCCCACTGATCCGCACAATCAATTGGGATCATTCGCCTGAGGATGTTGAAAGGAGAACCTAGGTGCAGTACACGCTCAACTGCAATGCCATCATCTCCAAGGCAATGCAGTTCCTCCCGAATCTTTGTAACCATGTCACTAAATGAAAGCCTATCATTGAATAGCATAGGCACGTTTTGCATGTCAACAAACTCAACATATCCATAGCGATCGTATTCAACAGTGTCTCCATGATATATGGTCACTAGGTTGCCCATCTAGTTCAAATACATAACGAAACACATGTTCTTTAGTCCAAATTAGACGATAGATAGTACCTAACAAGTACTTTCTAAATACAAACTAAGTAAATAAGATAATAACTACATACATAGATACAGTGTACTAACTAAATAGTTAGATCCTATTTAGTTAACTAAATATGTAACTAACTATCTAAGTAGCTATCTAACTATATCTATGTACCTATATATCTATGTTTCTATCTATCTACATATATATCTCACTAGATAACTAACTAAATCAACTACCTGAGTCATGACATTAACTAGTAAATAACAAATGCTAAAACTACTACAATACAATCAAAGCTAACTAAGTACGTACATTGCAAATTCATAAATTTTACATCGCGGCGACGACGGAGTCGTTAAATCGCCGATGAGTCACAAAGGCGAGTCGGGCGCAGTCAAATCGACGAGTGTAGCTGCAACCTGCACTACTACCACGGCCGGTGTCGAGGTGTCAATGGTGGCGCGGCAAGGCAACCAAGGCAGCGCGGCGGCGCGTGGCGGCGCGGATGCCCGGCGCTCACACATGGCGAGGCTGGCTCGGCGGCACTGGCCGAGATTCGGCGATGGCGGCGCGGCATGGTCACTGACCACAGCCAAAGCGATCGTGGCGGCCGTGGCGAGGCGGCGCCGCAGGCGTGGGTGGGCCGAAGGGGAGAGGCGGCGTCAGCAGCGGTCTTGCTTGCTGGGGAGGAGGTGCGAGAGATAGGGAGAGGAAGAGAGAAATGATTGGGGCCCATACGTAAGACAGGCTCGGCGCCAGGGTTACTAGCGTCGAGTTGCCCTGCCATGTCACCGCCACGTCTGCTTCGAGTCCAAGAGCTCGGCACCAGCAACTGTAAACTCAGCGCCAGCAACGATGACGCCGAGTTAAGAGTCTAAATTTTAAAATCTTATCTCGAAGAGATATTTGTAATTTTTTTTTAAAAAGAGCATAAAAAATAAAAAACTCGGCCGCCGCGAGATGGGGCAGGGGACCGATCACAGGCCGCAAAACCGCCTCCCGTAATAACCAGCGATATTTCCTGGCGCGGGCCCCACTACGCCCTCGTCCTACCTTCCCCTTCCTCGCTTCCTCTCTGGTTTCCCCCTCATATATTCGCCCTTTCCCCAAAATCTAAATAAAATCCCCACCCAAAAACCCACGAAGGAGACACTCAGCGCAGCCAGAGCAGCAAGTCACCCTCCCCTCCTCGCCCGCTCGCTTCGCTCATGGAGCCGCTGCCGTCGGCGACGGCCGCCGGCGTTGGGGGCCCCGGCCCTGGGTCCGGGTACCCCGAGTCCACGGAGTCTTCTCCACGCAGCCGGGGTGGGGATTCGTGGGACGAGCCCTTCCCGTCCTCCGCGGCGGCGGCGGCCGCGGCTGCCGGCGGCGGGGGCCGGCTCCGCCTGATGTGCAGCTTCGGGGGCCGGATCGTCCCGCGCCCGACCGACAAGTCGCTCTGCTACGTGGGCGGGGAGACCCGGATCGTGGCCGTGGATCGGCACGCGTCTCTCGCCGACGTCCACGCGCGCCTCTCGCGGTCTCTGCTGGGCGGCCACCCCTTCACGCTCAAGTATCAGCTGCCCAACGAGGACCTCGACTCCCTCATCTCCGTCTCTACGGACGAGGACCTCGACAACCTCGTCGATGAGTACGACCGCATCGCTGCGACCTCCTCCGGCGGGGGATCCTCGCGCACCTCCCGGATCCGCCTCTTCCTCTTCCCCGCCAAGCCTGAGTCCTCGTCCTCGCTCGGCTCCCTGCTCGACGACTCTTCGAAGTCCGAGAACTGGTTCGTCGACGCCCTCAACAGCGCCATCTCCGGCTCCCTCGACGACATCCCGAGGGGGATCTCCACCGATTCAGCTTCCGTCAACTGTCTTCTCGGCCTCGAGGACGACTTCTCCGTGCACTCCCGCAGCGGCGTGACCAACTCGGCTCCCACGGAGGACCAGCGCTCCAGCCAGCCGAAGCTCCCGGCCGGCGCCACCGCCGTCGCTGCCGCCGTTGGTGCAGGGAGGCACCCGCACGACGTCCAATCCGTGCCAGACTCGCTGATGCTGGACAAGAACTCCTCGTTCGGGTCTACCTCCTCGGCCCCGTCGCTATCGAATCTTCCGCCTATACGCGTGCGGCCGGAGGACCGCCCGTCGGACGCCCGCATCATGCAACCTACCGCTGTGGAGGATCACTTCGCGCAGATGGGGATCTCCGAGCAGCAGCTGCCGCCATACATACAACCTCAACAGCAGGTGCCGATCCCTGCCATGACCGGCATGTCGCCCTCTGAGGCGTCCAGCCGAGTGTTCTCTGACGATGATAAGTCCGATCACGGTGGCGGAGGTCGGAAACCACAACCTCTCAAGCAGGAGGTTCCACCGGTTGTTGATCCCACCAACAGGTAAGCTGACATGACCAATTTTATAAAACGTATACATATTGTTAGACCTTGATTATCCACTAGTACATGAGAGACTGCTTTCCTTGTATGTTTGGTCACTTGTTTCAGAGCCGTCTACTATAATGATAGATCTCCTCCGGCCGACTTGAAACGAGACATGCCGGTGGGAACGGAAGCTGCCAGCTACCGCCTCCCTGTATCAGCTCCGGACGCTGCCGCGGCTGCCGCCGCAACACAGGTCCCACCTGGATATGTCCTTACCCAGATGCATGCGCCTCAGCCACCGCAGCAACATCCACCACCGCAGCAGCAACAGCAACAGCAACCACAACAACCAGCTCCTCAACAGATTGTTGCTGCTGGAAATCAGCATTTCATCCACAACCCTGCCACTGGCACCTTCATTCCAATCCAGTCCTATTACCACCATCCTGTTCCTCAGCAGGCACCCCAGACTGTGCCGAGGCCGCAACAGGCACCTACATTCGACCCAAATACGGGGATGTATTACCTTCCTATGCAGCAGAATGCACATCAGCCATATAGCATGCCTCCTGGTGCACAAGTCACTTTGCCACCTCCCACCCTTGTTGACACAACGCCAAAGCCGACCGTGCCAATTCCTCAGATGGCTGTAAGGCCTGAATTGCAACAACCTGGTGTTTATCGAACAACAGCTGCCGCTACGCCTGCTCCAGCACCTAATGCAGCACCTGGATATGCTGGGATGGCATACCACCATGTCATTCAATCGCACCACCACCCCTCACCGCAGCCCGTCGCAAATTTGGCTGGCAACTTTGGATATGAGTATGCTGATCCTACGCGCCCACAAGTCTACTACTCACAGGCAGCTGCACCTCCAACATTGCCACCTCAGTATCAGCCCTTTGTCTCTCCTGATGCTGGACAGGCTGAAAAACATTAAGCAGAACCGTGCCTCAGACCGAGGATTGGTGAATTCGGGTATGTTTCAAATTCTACAGGCGTAGTTATCCATCTGTTATCATTATTGTTGCTACCCCATGTTACATGAGTCTGCGACAAAGAGTGGAAGGTGTTGCTATTAGGCAACTGTGCATTTGCGATCAAAACAAGTATGCGTCCAAGGATGGGTTCAAAATAGGATTTTAATTGGATGGTTCTTGTGTTGGTGAGACAAAGAAGGGTGACCATGTTGGATTAGATTGGGGGGAGTCAACTGTTGGATCCTTTTCCAATTGGTCTTTTTTTCTTCCTCTTATTTTGAATAAAATATATAGTGTCCAAAAGAACCTGGTGAAAGTGAAAACGAAGAACTCATCATTTGTGTAGCCCTCTGTATATTTGATCTCATGGATGTCATTCAGGTTGAGGTGCAGATAAGTGTGTTATTAGCTTGCTTGTAGAAACCTTATTCGAGTTAAATATATACATCGGTCCGGTTTTGTACTTTTGATATTGATGTGGATATGTTTCTTTTGGTTTAATACATTGACTTGTTGTTGTGGTTGATGCAGATAAGGCTTTGTTGTTGTTGTTGTGGTTTAATACATTGACTTGTTTTTTCTTGCTACTTGGTCGCTCTGGTTCCGTGTACCTCTCAATTTTCTTCTAAGCACACAGACAATCTCGCTTTGAGCTTTAGCAGAGCCCTTCTCTGAATCTGATGCTATATGTCGTTTTCATGGGGTGTTTAGTTCCAGAGCAAACCAGCAAGAACGTTTATGTTTATAAAACCATCCTGTTGTATCTTTCTTTACTTGATAGTGCCCCCGCCAAGTATAGACTCAAACCCACAAATTTGGGTTTTCTTTTTCTGGATATCTGGGAATATCGTTTCACAAATTTATATCATCTGAAGTGAAGTGGAGATCTTGTAGCATCATTGAAGATAGATGTAGATTGACAAACGCAATCAAATGGGCCCGTATGATGCGGATAATTTCTGATGAGAAGTGAGGCCACTGGGGTTGGTGCAGTGGTCCTCTTCTCCAGATCCTTTGTTATGCGGTGCTAATGATGTGATCTGCCACTGGCTGGCTGGGATCGTATTCCTCGCCGAGCGACATCCAGCGCCTCTTTACCATCCCGCCCAAGCCGATCGCTTCGGCCAACGAAGAAGTGGCACTTTCTTTTGGCATGCATGGCGCCAACGCCAAGCTAATCGATCCATCTCATGATCGCTCTCCCTCCTCGGCCGTCGCTTTACGGCTGTGCACCCCCGTCCCCACGTACTGTAGGGCGAGCGAGCTTCCATTGCCGCGTACAGAATATAAGGGGGGGTGTTTGGATTAGTCATTTTAACAACTCTAGAGTTATTAGAGATGACTAAAGCTCTTTTTAGTAGCTTTTAGTCGTAGTGTTTGGTTGAAAAGTTAAAGAGACTAAAAGCTACTCAATTTAGTAGCTACTACGTAGAACCAGGCCATAAGTCCAGTGGTGCATAAATAAACAAAGAGATCGCAAGAAGGGCGTCATAATGGCCTTTACGGCATCGCGCTAGCACTGCTTTACGCCTTTCCTTGTACTGCTAGGACTATTCTGAAGGGTCTTGAGAGCCTGGCTACCACGTTCGTGCGCGCTAATCAGCCAACTCAACTTTCTTTTCCTGTTCCACCTTTTGTGACCCCATTATTTTGGGCGCATGGCCAACGCTCTACATGACCTGAGTCATCCGATGGGATGGGGTCATATCAGTGCTATTCTGATCGCATGGCGCGCTGTCATTGGTCCAGCTGTACACTGTGATGACTGATAGTCATGAGTAATGTCGGTGTTTCGAGTAAACACCAACAAGTAAATTTGTATTATTACACGTCTGATTCGGATGGTATATTAAGAAGACACAAGGTTTATACTAGTTCGGGTAGAATTTCAATATGTCCAGTTCGTGGTTGTTGCTCGTGTTACTAGCACTGAAAAGTTTGTAGTAGGAGTTACAAACGGATGAGAGAGGGACATGTCCCAAGTCTCTGATGAAAAGATCGACTGGGTGCCGAGAGCTCGATCGCTACTCAACTATGTGTTTGAGGTTTGATGCTAGTGGTTCTATTGCTGTGCGGTGTGTGTGTGTTGAACCGATGCCCCCTTAGTGGGACGTTTTGCTTTTCCTTTTATAGGTCAAGGGAAAGCACATGTTACAAATGGAAGAAGATATGAGAAGAGAGGCGGAGGAAGTCCTTCAGGGTCGTCGACCTTTCTTTTCCTCCGTGCGGGCCCCGCTGACATGGCTGGCGGCGACTGGGACAGCCCCACGCGGGGCGCCTGTCCGCTGTCACTACCATGCTCCGGTGCTTGTCAGCGGGTCGTAATGTCCCGCTCCGTCCCGGCGGACGGTGCGGTGATCCACTGACATGGCGGTGGCGACAGGGATAGCCCCACGGTCGGGCCGCTGACATTGCCATGCCACGCTTGTCAGTAGGTCGTAACGTCCCGCTCCGTCCCGACGGACGGTGCAGCGATCTAGCGTGTTGATCAACGGGCGTATAGGGAGTGGGCAACATAGTGACCATGCGTCCGTCACTGTAGGCGATGTGAGTCCCTGGAATGACATGTCGTGGGGACGGGTCGTGCTGAGACGTGACCACTCCCTGCACGGTGCCAGAAGTTTGACCTCGGGTAGTACCTTTAGGCCCGTAGTGGTTGGCGGCGGCGTGAGCTTCCGTTAGGAACCGTGTCCAAGGGGGTCGGACGAGGCGGAGCCAACCCTCGGACGTCGGGCAAGAGGACGTTGGACAAGAGGTGTAGTCGCGCTCTTGTTTATTCGGACGCGGAGCCAACCCTCGGAGGTCGGATGAGGCGGAGCCAACCCTCAGGGGTCGGACGAGATGGAGCCAACCCTCGGACGTCGGACGTTGGAGAGGTGTAGTCGCGCTCTTGTCTATTCGGACGAATCAACGTTGAATTAGTGATACTGATGCTGATGCCAAACATGGAGGGTTATTACAGTAAACACGGAGAAGATCTGATACTGGATCCGGTGTCGAAAGGCAGGTGTCGGTAGCCGGTGACCCGAGCCCGAGAAGCTAATTCGTCTCGGGATACATACGGCAATCTGTACGCACAACACCACGCGGCGGATCGGCGCCGCTGCCACGAGGGCCGGCCGGCCGTGCCGGCCCGTATAATTCGAGCTGACCGACCCAGCGGCAGCGGTGGCGGTCCGCTGTCGCACCGCACGTGGGGCCGGCGGGTCGCGAGTCCTGACCGATCAGGTGTGTGTTGGGGGATTCGCTGCCGCGTCCACCCGCGTGGGCGTGGCACTGGCACATGCCCGCTCCTGGGCGCCACCGCCCGTTGGCCCATGTCGCCGACGACCTCCCTCCCTCTGCAAGACCCAACGTGTAGGCGCGTGCCCGTCCGCCCCTGCATCTGCCTCGGGACACGAGGGTTGTGCTGAATCAGTGAGTTGGGACTTGTGAGACGGGGAAACAGGGGACAGGGCCGAGTCGCGGTCGCAGAGATCGCCAGAGCCGACGATGAAACACCAGCACCGCTGGCTTGCACACCGGGGCCGGGGGCGTGCTGTGTAGGTTGAAAACGGACGGAAAAAATTCCGTTGACTCCTTCTGTTTTCTACTTTTTTCCGTCCGTTTTCGTATTTGTGGGATCCGGTTTTCGTATTTACGAAAGTGGGAAAGGAGTTTTACATTCATTTTCGCGAGATTCTATTTTTATCCAGAATTGACCCATATTTATTTCGTTTTTCGTCCTATTTTCAATCTATGTGAGATATGTCTAGAAATTGATATGTTCGTAAACCTACTAATCACAAATTATGCATGTTAACATATTAACATATGGTATACTAATGAATATTGGATTGATAATTTCGTACGTGTATATTATTTTGTGATTTTGTTCATGTATACTCAAGAATATTTGATCATGCGATTCTAACTTATTTTTTCGGCTCTTCGTCCGTATTTGTCTGTTTCCGTATATCCCATCCGTTTTTAATTCCATTTTTTTCCGAACCTGATCCCGTTTCCGCTTAAAAATATAGAAACATAAATAGAAGAGGAGTTTTTCCGTCCGTCTCAGTCGGTCTTCATCCCTAACCGTGCCCCCCTGGAAGCCGGGATTTCGTACTCGACGTCCTGACCTCGAGTCAGAAAGCGGGCGTGATGACTAGGTTTGTTTGCCCCGTCCGTCCCGCTCTGGAGGATGCGCCCCGGCCCGGCCGCGCACCCTTAACCGTTGATGCTTGATCCGTCGAACATCGTCGTTGCATCAGTTGTCGGAACAGGCACATGTACATTACCCCAGAGTCCTCCAGCTTCCGGAGCATCAGAACGCCGACGTGTCGCCGGATATTAGCGGGTGAGAAAACTACTACGTGTACTATAGACCAGCGATTGCATTTGCGATCCACGTCTCGACATTGGAGACACTCGCAGTCGCTGGCGGCAGGTTGCGTCCCGTGCGCAGGCAAAGGCGTACACACTCCTTGATCTCCTCTCCTCCTCGGATCCCTCCACCTACCAGAGGGCAGAGGAGGACGGCAACGAGCCAAGCCTGCCTCCGAAAAGGGCTCGGCGCGCTCTCCTGTTCGTTTAGCTGTGGCTTGTTGTAAATGATCGTAAATTTTTAGTCGAAACAGTATTTTTCTCTCATACAAACTAGCCAACAGTAATTTTTCACGAGCCAGCAACGAAACGAACCAGCCAACCGAACGTGCCGTGGTCTTCCGGTCCAATCCACGCCCCCCTCCCTTTGCGCGCTTGCGCGCGAGAGCGAGCATCATGGCATCGTGCTGCGGCGGACCACTCCACTCCACCACGCCGCACGCAGCCGCCGTGCAGTGCTGCCGGCTGCCGCTTCCATTGTTCCCTCTTTTTTTGACCGCTCTCGGCTGCCTGTATGCCCGCCGCACGCCGAAAGCCCAAAAGGCTGGGGTCCCTGGGCAGGCAGGACACGACGTGATGCCGCAGAGCGGGGCCGCGTACGTGCGTGCTCACCTCGCCGCAGGCGGCAGGCGCAATACCGTGTGCTCTCTTTACCCGGCTCCGGAAACCACCGGCGGCACACGCATACTCCTACTCGCCTACAGACTCACTGGATGGATGCAATGATGGATGGATGCTTGATGCTGGTGTATGTTTGGTCAATAATTGGTGGCGGCCTTGTTTAGTGCCCAGATAGACCGGCGGACGGGGCGGAGATGATCTGCTTAAACTTGTATACTCAGCCACGGTAGTAGGGGGACCTGAGGGAATCAGGCCCACCCACTACGTGTTGCTGTCCTTCAGTCTCGTTTGGGCACACGGTGACCAACCCCTCGTTCCATAGGTTGTGGATATGCATCTATCCTAAGCTGGCTCGTACGTACAATGAAGCAGATAAGACCGATGGAAACAACGAAGCGCTTTAAACAAGTTTCTCCCTGTCCTGACGTATGTATTCCGTAGGCCTCGAGCTCGGTCGAGTGGCGGACGTATTGCGCGCCCCCACCTAATCCCGCGTCCAGTTTTCCGCTCGCATGACAAACGCGTACTGTCACGGCACGGCGACCATGCATCCGTACGCCAGCCGGATGATGACGAGCACTCTGTAGCCTAGCAGACTAGCAGTGGTGGCGGTGAGTGGTGACCTTGACCTTAAACGAACGTCTTCGTCTCGCCTGTGGCCTTTGCAGGGCCGACAGCGACTGTGAGAAAGAGAGAGAGAGAGAGAGAGGCAGGTCAGGTTCGCGTGGCAATGAGATCCACGCCCTGGGAGCGAGTGAGATCATCCCAAGCCTCGCCTAGCCACAGCCACTAGCCAGCCAGGGCATCATCCCAATTGCCTTTTCGTTGTTATTCGGTAAATAGTGTTCCATACAGCCAAACATGCCATTAGTTTTATTTTATTTATATTTAATCCAGCCAGATTCGATGTAATCGAAAAAACGCAAAAAATTTTGCAAAATTTTTTGCAAACTAAACTGCATTTCTGCCGGGGCAGGAGAACAAAAGAGAGCAGAGAAACATGGCACAGGCACTCAGGCAGGCTGGTTCCCTGAGGCGCACGGAACGCCATGCTTTTATGATCCGGTTGGCGTGCGCGCGTCGGCGTCGCTGTCCTCCGGTTCGCCACCGATCGAGACCCCGTGGAGGTGGAGCCCAGTCATGTGTGTTTGCTGTCGGTGTCGGGAACGGGCAATACCATCTGTCGCCGGCCCGGATGACCCTGACTGTCATGGCCTGGCACGGACAGATCAGGCTGTAGCATGCCCAGGCCATGTTCTGATGAACCTGTCAGCAGCTTTTGAGATTTCACCTGAATTTGGGGCCTTAATAACGAACGGGTAACCCCAATCCTCTGGGACCTTCATGCGTTCTTAATCCACTTGTACATGCAGTATAGTTACACCATACCCCAGTATGTTATGTACTCGGTCAGTCGTGATCTCCTCGGCTATCTAATCACTTGGCTGCAGCGCCTGTGCCTCTCGGGATCTTCCTGAGAACGCCCGAGTCCATGTCGGCGAAGTGGGTCCGCAGGTCGTGCACGCCTCTGGCCACCAGGTGGTCCACCTCGCTCTCGTACCGCTCGTACAGCGCAGGCAGCGTCATCGTGCCCAGCACCACTGCAGAGGCCAGAGGCAGGCAGCAAATTAAAAGACAGCGTCCGCCACGAGCCCCTTTTTTTGGGGGGCTCAAATGAATTATGCTGCGAATTTCGCCTTCTGATGAAACTTGTACTGCTGAAAATGCATGGCTCAGTTCAGCAGGTTGTTACCGAGGAAGAGGAGCGTCAGGGAGCTGAAGCAGTCCGCGATCACCGACGCCATGTACAGCGAGAGCACCGTCTGTTGAGTTGAACGCACGGGCAGATGGAGGATCAGATGCATATTTTTATCTTCTTTTATACTAGTGCTGTTTGGTAGGAAAAGGAGGAGATGGAATGGGCAGCAGGTTGGTCAGTTAGTGGCGCACACACCAGGATGAACATCTTGATGTCCTTGCCGCAAGCGACGTCGTGCAGCTTCTCCACCAACCTGGTCAGCCTGCGGTGCACGTCTTGGACCGCTTGCCTGCTCGCCCTCTCCGACACCAGAGTATCAGGGATTCTGGGAACCGGCCTGCATGTAAACAACATCTCACGATTATTACCGTCAGTGTTCCGTTCCTCTCAGCATCACATCCCATTTGGGCCCGTTTTGATATTTAACGGGCTTAATCTCGGCCTCACGTTGTGTGGGCTTTCATGCTACTAGTATGAACATAGATGGGCCGAACAATTGGGCATTGCAAGAATTCCTCTCAAACTAAAAGAAAAAATTGGGCTCCGAAGAAAAAAAACGTTGGAAGGCTGCTTTGCTTGCTTACAGGTTGAAGAAGGTAGAAGCGTTGGTCCATATGAAGAAGACGAGCATGCCGATCATGGCGACGTAGCAGACCACCGTGAGGAGATGGTACTCCGCCACCTCGAACAGGCCCCACGCCGCCGTCGCCGCGGCGAGGATGGACGCCGACGCCTTCCTGTCCCTCCACAGGATGATGTCCGCGGCTGTGCAGTGCACCCACGGATTATATTATTAACGAAAACGAAAGGCTTTCAGTTGGGCGAACCGGTCGCATTGCACGACCGAGCTCGTATATAACAGTAAATCCATGCATGGTTTCAGATCGATCGCAAGAACGAGTCACCTCTGCGTCCACCGAGGGCAGCGTGGAGCGTCCTTTCCCTGCCGAAGAGCTTGGGTGCCCTGCTGTTGTGTCCGTTCATTGCTGCTGTTGCCATTTTCGGTTTCAATGATTCTTCTGTGTGTCGAGGAGGTCACCCATGCAGTGCAGCTCAGGATGCCAAGTTCTTATAGCCGCGGCGGCGGTAATAAGGCTCCTGCAGGTTGGGTGATCCACACGGCGTCCGGTGCCGGGGAAAGCAAAGCATAGCTTTGGCTCATGGATTTTCCTTTCGGTGATGATACTTTGTCGTGCGAGTGGCTTTTGGGACTGGGATCCGATCCAATCCTTGCTATCCCCGGATTGGGCAGCTTGAAGCTATTTACTCAATTTTTCGTTTCATGCATGGACGGGACATGCCTTACTTCCGCTGAATTCTGAAAGATGGCTCTTTTCAGTAATTCAGTTATTACAGGATAATAATGGGAGCCCTCCTTCCGTTTTGACACATAATTAAGTGAGTAATTTTTGCAGCAGGTCTAGCAAGCAAATCAAAGCTAGATCTTTTAGACTTTCAACTAGGCATATATTATTCGGAGGTTGTTTACATTATGACCAACTTGATTCTTTTCTGAAGGAAAAAAGATACCTCGGAATCTAGCTTGTACGCACATGTGAACTTGTGAAGAAGATTCCAATACGCCACGGAGTAATTAAACGTCTTAAACACTACAACAAAGGGAGTGGCAGAACACAGAAGAAGGAATGGTTGTGGTTGTGCTCAAATCAGACTGCTTGGATGGTATCGCCAGTAAGTTGGAGGAAATTCAGTGTATGCCAGAAAAGATTTCTGGTCAAATTCACAGTGCCTGCAAGAACGGCACGTATTATCCGAGCGCACACTGTGCTTTGAAAGTTTGATCCCTCTTCGGATCCATCGAGAAAGAGACCCTGATCTGTTTGCAATCCATAATGGAGCTGAAATGGATCTAAACAGCGAAAGACCAGGTTCAGTTTCCAGATCTGTAGATCGCAGGCAACAATGATCTATCATGCAAAGTCCGCAACCGCGCGCAGCAGTTTTGTGTTTTTGTCCGATGTAACACACACGCCTTGAAAGAGATGAGATCGAGGATGGCGAAGTTCGGAGGTTGTGATCGGGCTAACATGCCATTAGATACTTTATGCCTTTGGCGTGTTAATTTACTTGTTTGAACCACCATTGACAAGGACACAATGCTTTGCCAGATTATAAAAACTAAGGAAACGACAATGCGAGATCGGCATAGTGATAGCTAGTGCTGATCACATGTGGATGGTGACTGGTGGCGGGCTAACCACTTCAAATATCCGCATCTCTGGCTCCTCATCTTCACATGCCCAATTAGCGTTTAGTACTATGGTAGAACTGTATACTACTTCTAGCTTAGTAGCTTGAGCCTGTCCACTCGATTAATTTAAAATCAAACAAATGATCAGCCTAGACAAAGGCTGTGCAACCTAATTTGATTCAGGTCCTAGGTCTAGGAGTGCATTCAGCTCAAAAGATCTAGGAGTGCGAGGAGCTGTGGTTGCTGCACCCTTGAACCCGTATAGAGGTTTAATTTTATGAGTTACCGCTGTAAACTCACAAAATTAAGCCTTTATACGGTTCACGGGTTAGCCCACTTACATCCCTGAGTGCAGATGATATGATGCCTTGCAATCTTAATCATGCGCGGTTGCCCCCACCCCCCATCGGTGAATTATATACTCTACGGCCGTTCAAGGCTTGTAAAGTTGTAAAAGAACGGCCCATGCGTGGTTGCAAGGGTCAGATTGCTGCATGCATAGTGCCGGCCCTAGTGACGAACAGTGCATTTCTGTCCGGCATCAAAAGTGATCAACAGCTCAGTAGCTCGTTTTTAATTGAGAATTACTCTGTTCAGTTGATAGAGACTTCCATACCATTCAAAAGAGTGCTGGTCCTTTTTATTTTCCTCACTAGCCAACAGCAGAGCAGTGAGGGGCGGTACCGGTAGCCGTCAGGGAAAAGCAACGGACGGAGACGGACGTTATCACAGCCCCGGGGTAGGGGGCCCGCTTGTCATCGACGTGTTCGGATCGGTCCAACTCTACGGGTGACGGCGATGGACTGATGGGGTGTGAAGAAGCACAGTCCGTAACAGCGAACGGGATGTCCCCATGTCTGTTGCTACTTGCTGATGTGTCCTCCCGCTCCACGACGAACCACCATGAGCTGATGTGCAACAAGCCAACCCGGCCAAGGGGATGATCTGCGCCGAGGTTCCAGTGCCACCCGATCGGTGCCAACGTATCAGCGTCGTGGAATCTGGAATCCACGCCACGGCGACGTCCAGGCCCACATGTCGGTCTCCATGCGACGACTGTGTCGTCCTCCTCGGCGGCATCGCCCACACTACGAGAAGTGGGCACAGGCGCGCAGCATTGCTGGAGAGCCATGCGCCCATGCGGATGCTCGCCAACAGTTCCGTGCCCGCCGCTTGGCGCTTTGCATCGCTGCGCTTAGCACGGGAACCGTGCGCCAGTGGCAGCATCGCCACTCGCCAGTTTTGTCTCGTCCAACTGACAACTTGGGCCTCACGTCCCCGTCAAGCGCCGGCGCCGCACCAACCTCTGGTACCCTATAAACGAGCGCTCCTCCACTCGGGTGTCTGGTCTCCCCGTCGCTCGTCTTCCTTCGCCGCTTCCCCGCGAATCTCGCCGTCCGGCTTCCGGTCTCCGCTTCCCCAGTCCGTCCAGTGGTCATGGACCCGTCTCTCTCCTCGCCCTCCTCGCCTCTCCGGCTCTCCGGAACCCCCGCCGGCCCGGGCTCAAGCCCTGCCCCTACCCCGAGGCCCACCCTCGTGGCGGCCGGCCCCGGCCGCCAGCCCACCACCACCTCCCTCCGCGCCATCTCGCCATCCCCGTCCCCGCCCACCGCCGTGGAGTCGTTCGGCTTCGACGCGCTCAAGGAGACCTTCGCCGTGGACGTGGCGGCCGCCGACGCGCGCCCGCTCGACGTCCCGCTCGCCGCGCCCTTCACCATCGCGTCCTCGCGCCTCGTCGCGGTGAACAACGTCGCCGTTCGCGTCGAGCTCCACAGCGGCGCCGTCGGGTGGGGGGAGGCGCCCGTGTTGCCCTCCGTCACCGCCGAGGACCAGCCCGCGGCGCTCGACGCCGCGGGACGGGCGTGCGCCGCGCTCGTGGGCGCCCCCGCGGCGCCCCTCGGCGCGCTGCTCCAGGACGTCGCCAGTGTGCTCCCGGGACACGCCTTCGCCTCGGTGAGGAATCCGCAGCTTCTCGTCCGACTCGACTCACCGAGTAAAATTTGCCTTCTGTTACCGTGTGGGTTGACAGGTGTTTGATCGTAGGGAAGATATGAACGTGATTCGAGTTGACAAGTCTATGGTTGTATTTGATTGTATCCTTTTCCATTTAAGGCCAGAGCAGGAGTGGAGATGGCGCTGATTGACGCGGTTGCTAATAGCATTCGCATACCTCTATGGAGATTATTCGGAGGAGCATCAGATAGTGTGACAACTGACATCACGGTACGGTTACCTCACTGCACCGACTCCTGAAAGCTTTTAAATACCATAACCAAAATTTTATCCTGATGTTTCCCAATTCAGATTCCAATTGTGACCCCAAATGATGCTGCTCAATTGGCTGCAAAATATCGTGGACAAGGGTTTCAAACTCTGAAGCTCAAGGTTGGGAAGAACTTGAATTCAGATGTTGAAGTTCTGAAAGCTATACGACTTGTCCATCCAGATTGCTCATTTATTTTGGATGCAAATGAGGGATACACAGCAAATCAAGCAATTGAAGTTCTTGATAGGCTAAATGGTCCGTACTCCTGCAAACTGTAAATTGCTAGAGTTCTCATTTTGAAGTTGTTTCAATATGCTGAACCTGTTAGCTATTTGTCATCTGAACTGTTCGACCTTCTTCCTGTGCTTGAACTAAGTTAACATGTTTCTATTCTTTCATTGGTTTCAGAAATGGGAGTGACCCCTGTGCTCTTTGAGCAACCAGTTCACAGAGATGATTGGGACGGTCTCCGAGATGTTAGCTCTGTGGCCATGGAGAAATACAAAGTCGCTGTTGCTGCTGATGAAAGCTGTCGGAGTTTACTTGATGCTCAGAAAATAATAAATGGGAATCTTGCCCATGTTATTAACATCAAGCTCGCAAAGTTGGGGGTTCTTGGTGCCCTTGAAATAATTGATGCTGCAAGAAAAGCCAATATTGCTCTGATGATCGGTGGCATGGTTGAGACTAGGATTGCTATGGGCTTTGCTGGTCATTTAGCTGCTGGGCTTGGATGCTTTAGGTCTGTTTGCTGTGGAAATTATCAAATTATCTTTTTTATCAGCAAGAGACATTGTTACCAGGATGCTGAAAGCCTGAAACCACAAACTGTACACAGATGTTACCATGTTCCATACCTTATACCTGTCAAATCAGCTGCTAAAGTTGTTTCTTAAACTTATGGTTGCAGTTTCGTTGACCTGGACACACCTCTTTTACTCTCTGAAGATCCTGTGTATGGTGGCTATGAAGGTAATCTTACACAAAATGTTTGTTGTGTTCCTTCGTGTAAAGGTATCGGTTACTGTTGCTATAGATGCCTGTTCGCCCCCAAAATAGTAGTATAAAGAAGTTGTAGATCCAATGATGCTTTCAGGTCAAAATAGATTTGGTAATGCTTTCATTTCTGCATGTTTTGTTGTTGATGTGTTCTTCCCTGACTCGACTTGCTTTTTTTTCTTTACCAAACGAATAAACCTAAAGCCCACATAGTTGAATAATAAACCCAAACACCTCAGAATCTAGATTTGACACAGCAACACTTTGAACACTGCTTGTCAAGTTATGTAGCAACCTGCATACAGGGAATGGGCACTAGACACTTAGACAGTGCCTGTATACTACTATTAATAAAGCAGGTAAAAAATACAAGCAGATCTGATTCAATTTGCTAAACCCAACCTTTCATTATATCAGTTTCTCATGAGGACACTACTTGATGTTGTGAAAATTTCATGGCTACAATGCTTACACTAGGATGTTTTCAGCTGCAATATTGCTCTATTCTTATGTTTAGAAAATCTCCTTATCATTTACACAATTCTCTCATCAGCTTTTGGACCTGTGTACAAGTTTACAAACGCCCGTGGCCATGGCGGTTTCCTTCACTTGGGCACTGATGCCTCGGTATGTCACAATTCACCCCTGGCCCTGTTCGTTTCACTGAAATTTGGCTTATGTTGTTTTAGTTGTGAGAGGAAAACACTATTACTACTGAAGTAGTGCTGCAGAACAGGGCGCCTGTTAGCATCTGACTTCCTGTAGAACTATTGTATTCCTCCCCTCATCACCGTAATAAGTTAATTTTACTTAACCAAAAAGGTAGCCACTAGCATACATTGTTTGGAGCTGCAGTAGATTCAGATGTGTTTATCATGCAGTTACAATTGCTCACTGTACAGCTCTAAATAGTGCCATTTCTCAATTTATGTAGTAATTTCTTCCCTATAGGAATAAAACATTCTAGGACTCACCAACCTATATGATATTTCTGTTTGCAGAAATGAAGATGGTTTAACGATTTTGCCTGTCCTGCTGGAGCTTCATCGAAGCATTGCAGTGCATTCCAACAATGCATTGTTCCACTGGACAACCATCACATAACCGAAATCAAACAAGCAATTGCAAGCATATAGCCATATAGGTATGTCCTGCTGTTGCCAGTCCAGTCAGGCCTAGAACCCTGGAGTATTTGGTCAGCCTTGTAGATAGATATTCATAAGGCTGTTCCCGCTGGCTCTGTTGTTTTATCCAGATATTCTAGTAACTTCTGTGTAATAAACACACCTGGTTGTAAACACACCTGGTTTGTTGTTCTATTGTTCAGTATAAATAAGGCTTTCCTTGATTACGCTGAAGTGAACGTATGTAAGGGGTGCAAGTGCTGCATGTGAAACAGTGAACGCTATGTAAGCACACCTCCCTCTCGCGCCCTCATCCTCGCCGCCGCCCGAGCCCTCTCGGCAGTTCGCCGCGCAATGACGGTGGCGGCGGGGCTCTTCGGTCGTTTGGTGGGCGCGTCGAGAGTCGAGCAACGGCGGCGGCTGCGACGCGGACGGAGGTGGCAGATCCGGCGCCGTGGAGGGTGGATCCGGCAGCTCCCATGCCGGATCTACGCCGGTGGCCTCGTGGCCGTCGCGGGCGGCGTTGGCACTGGCCGCGCCGCCATCCATGGCGGTGCGACGGTTTGACGGTGGTGTCCGTGGCGGTGGGCGGTGTGGCTTGTGCGCGAGGCTGGTGCGGTGGCGCCTTGGCCCGTAGGTGGTGGTGGTGGTGGTGGTGCTCTCCGTTGGTCCGGCGATGGCCGGCGGCAGACAGGTCGAGGTGGCGGAGGGGCGCGCGGCTTCTTCTTTGCGCGCCGCGCCGGAAATCAAACTTGCCGTCTTGGTCTCGCCGAGCGTCTGGCAAGGCAAGGCGGCGGTGGCGGCTCCGGCTACCGGATCTGGCGCTCTGGCGGCCGGATCCGGCCTTCACTGGGCGGATTGGTGCTCCTGCGGTGGTAGTCTACCGGCTGACCGGCGGCGGTTTTGTCATGGATCGGGCTTGGTGGTTCGGTTATAATCCAACGTGGCGGTGTGGTTCCTTCGGCGATGCCGTGGTGGCGTGGCCGCCCGTGGGCGAAACTGCGGTGTGCAGTGGTGCCGCTTAAGCATTGCCGGGCCCGGTGGAGGCCACACTTCCTGTTGGGGCTTGCCGACGCGCAGCCCGCGCTTGGTGCGCAGGGGGCAGCGGCGGGTTCCTCCTCTCTCGCCGCCTCTCTCCTTCTTCTCGATGGTGGCCATTTTGTGGCGGTGGTTGGGTTTCATGCATGCCGTTCTTCCCCACATGATCCTCGGCATGGTCGCGGGCCAGCTAGGGACGGAGGCCTCGGCGTCTTCGGGGTGCTGGTTCAATCCATCTTCGTGGCATGGGGCGGTGCCCAAGGTGGACGTACAAGTCCTTCGGCATGTGGTCCGACGGCGGGGAGTGCGCAGCTTTGCGGCTGCCAGTGTGGCCGTGTCGGCCGACCCCTCGGAGTGGCCTCGGCCGTGGTCCGGCAAGCGACGCCGTTTTGTGCTGGCGAGGACCCGGCATCTTGACCGACGCACCGTCTTTGTGGTTTCTTTGGGCGAAGGGCTACGGCGACACTGCGGGTGCCGTTCCCCCGTTGAGGGCGTCGCGTCCACAAAGACTCCACGGGTGAAAACCCAGTCCGCCTTGACGAGCGACGGCGGCGCTTGGACGTCGTTACTTCTTGAAGGCGTCGTTGTGGAATTTGTCTCGTTGGCGAAGGCTAGTCGCGTTTTGCTGTCCGTTGCGTGGGTGGTGCATGAGAGTTTGTTCTAGTAGAGTCGAAGTGGACGACCGAATGGCGGCGTGAGTTGAGATAGTTGGTTAGCTGGGGTTCGATTCGACATTGGTGCTGAATTGTTGTATCAAGTTGTGTAGGATGAAATTCAAAGAATCATGGATTTTTTTCTTGCCTTCTTTTTCTTTTCTTCGTCTAATAGAAATCGCGGCAAACTTTTGCCGTCCTTTCGAAAAAAAGCAAGTGCTGCATGTGGCGTTTCAGTCGAGAGTCGAGAATAGCGTTCAGCTGGGCCTGTTTGGCTAACCACTAAAACTTGCCACGTCGAACCTTTGGCAAACTGTGGCTGCCACAGAAAGTGTGGTGAGCAAAATCGAAGCCAAACTTGTGGCAAGTTATGGCACGAAAATGAGTCTATGACATGTGGGGCAGGATGCTATAAAAGTTCGACGTGCCATAATTGTGATAGTGAACCAAACAGTTGCCGAAGAAACTGTGACATAATCAACCTTTGGCATGGTCTCCAACCAATCTCCAACCAAACTAAGTCCTAGACAAGTGCTGCGGCAGCGCTGCGCCACCTTGCGCGTGTGGTAAAGCTATGTTGGTATTACCACCCGGCCTATGTGGGTATTTCCACCCGGCCTGACCTCCCTGTCAGGTTCTACGAATCGTTCGCGCTTTTGCTGTCTGAGTACATGAAGTAGCAAAACAAAAATACTATACAACACATATGTGTTTTAGAAAAAAAACATGGATTTTTTCTCTCTTCGGTGACCACCGGCGCCGGCGCCGGCGACCGGCGAGCTCGCCCCGGCGCCCGCCATGGCATGCACGGTGACGAAGCCGCTGTGGCCTTTACCACGCTGGTGCGTGAGCCTGAGACGGCACCAAAGATTCTTGTATACCCGTGAGGCGTTCTGTGCCGGCTGCTTGTCGACCTGTGTCACGCGTTGGCCATGTCGCAGCGGCAGAACTAGCAGATCTGCGGGGCGACGCTCCCGGACGTCCCGGCCCGCGCCCGCGCCCGGCGTGCCTCCCCGCGCCCGCGCCGGCCATGGCAGTGGCGGTGGCGGCGACGACGGATTATGATTTGTCTTTTCATAGAAAAAAAATTATGATCCGTGATCTGTGATCTGTGGAGGCTAGAGGTAGAAGAATGGTGGAGACTGTTGAATCTTAATCCTATGGTGCAAAAAAAATCATGTATTGAAACTGCATAAAACATATGGTTATATAGGAGACAGACTCATAAACAGAAACACAACAATAAATTGTTTAATACTAGCTGAGAACCAAACAATAGTCGGCGCCTCTAGTTGACAAGCCACTTGCTGAGGTTCAAACCTGGTGTTGACCTTCATAAATTCAGTGCTCCTTTCTTCCGCAAAGCTATGGGATCTCTTCATCTGGCGTTACGTTCTTCGTTATGTAAAAAAGGTCAGTGCGTTAAGCCACCACTAATACTTTCCTCTGTTTTCAAATTCTTGACACCCACGTTCACGGTTTTGTTTGATAATAAACTTGTCGCCAAACTTCAATTCTCCAATTTTTCCTTTGTCGGGCCATGTGAAAAGTTAGCATCTGTTTGGTTATTAGAAATTTCTAGAGCTTCCATAACCCTTATTCGTTTGTGAATATTAAAGGTTCTCACATGTAGCGATAACAGGATAAAAGGACATTATGATAATTTCAAATAAGACAAATGTATACATTGGTTTGCATGTCCTTAGCTATAAGTGTCAAGTATTAGAAAGCCGAAGGAAGCACTTTCTATTTTTTATACAGAACTACATCTAAATTGAGCCAATTCCACAAACATGAAAGCAATTTTGACGAAAAAAATAAATCAAGGACTGAAATGTTACTGACATACCCCCTTATGTTCCCCTGTGTCTATCGTTCTAGCAGTTCACTTGGATGTCTAGATTCACACAATGTTTCATGCATCTGTGCACACCCAATGACCAGGTCCGGAGAATCTTTGCTGCACTTGGTTCAAAGCCAAAACGAGGTACATATCGGGACAGAGGGAGTATAACAAGTCAACCATTTGACATTCTGGCGGGGTAGTTACCATGCCAGTAAAAAAAAGCTGCTGACATATAACAAGTCAACATTTGACCATTCACTCATATAACACACTTTGCACATTAATAGCTCTGTTGATGTTCCTTTCACCGCTACTTAGTTGTGTATTTGTCATTAATTATGAGCTCAAGCTAAGGGTATATAGAAACCAATAGTGATATGAATATAGCTGCTTCTTTTTTTAGTTGCACATGTCTTAGTCATTCTCAATTGGATACATAATCTTCTCGCATTTTTTTCGCTATTGTAGAGCAGGCATCAAATATATAAATCACCTACATCATTTGGAAGGAAGAGGTAACAACTTATATTGCTTGGTATTCATTATATTTATATTGGTCAAATTCGCGTGCCAGGTGTTATCTTTTGTTTTATTTCCATTTTAAAACACTTCTACAGATCCACTTCTATATTTAACATACTATTTAAATTTAAGGTTCTAAATGGCTCATTATAACACTGCTATAGCATTTTCGGAGGGCCTACGCTATAACATTGTCAGTTGTTCAGTTATTGCAACTAAAACGCTCTATCTTCGCTAAAGACTGATATTTAGCTTAGTGTAACACCCTCGGTGTTACGCCCTAAACCAACTACTAAATCAGTTCAATTTACCGATAGGGAAAAAATACCGGAGGTCACCGATAAACGGGTTTATTGGATTTATTGGAAAATCTAGCGGTTTATCGTTTTCTTTTTGGACAAATTAAAAAAAACACATGAATTTGCACAGGATAACGCATAGATTATGTCCAAAATCAGCTAACATTGAAAAATACACATATAGAAATGCAAGAATATCATTTTTCACCCAACACGTCATATAGTCATCTCACTTCTTCCCTTCCACATAGTCCATTGGATTAACAGTCGCAAATCCCAACTATTACAAGTTCAAAGAGAATTAACCTAACTTAAAAGTAGTCCATATCCATAATCCATAGTCCCAAATACTACAGACAGTACATTAACATAAAGTACATGAACCAAGATAGCACAATATGCTTATGGTCACTGGTTAGGCACTAAAGCAGTGTGTTGTCCAAAATGTTACAACCACATGAACCAAAACAACAAATATACTTGAAGTCTGGTAAGCAAAACACCACAGCTCTCGGGTGCCCAAATCACTACAAATGTTGATATATGCTCAAAATTTCGTGAGGAAATTTGTAGTCCAATTGTAGATGAGGGAAGAGATTTATCTAACCTTTCCATAGAGGCCCTTGACAGAGACTTTCTTCAGCCTTTTTGATCTTGGACGGAGAGGGGCTGGTTGCACATCTCTAGCACCTACAAATATGTACAAAATATAAGCCTCCTAGCACACATATGTACATGTACTAGAACATTCAAGCATCAATCCTATTGTTTATCATCCAAAACTAAAAAATCTTTAATATCTAGAGTATAACTCATGGACAGAAATAGAACCTACGAACTGAATTTAGACCTGTAACTACATTATTATCAGCTTGACCTCCATTAGAGTCTTCACCACGACTAGGCTGACCAACACCACCAGTATTGCCACAAGAACCACCAGCATCACCATCACCTTTGACAAATATTTTCAACAAAAGCACATTACATCGAGAAAACTTATGACATGATATGCATAAAATAGTCAATCAAAAGATAAAACACACCACTGACTTCACTACCATCAGAATTGCGGTCTCCTGACTCTGCATAAGTTGGGCTACCTTGTTGATCAGAATCTGATTCAAAATAGTCTCCAATATCTTCCTCAGATACCACCTTTCTTTTCTTACCACCTTTTTTTGCCAAAATCAAGCTTCTTTTAAATGTGGCCAACTCTTCTTCATTCATTCCTAACTCTTCTACAAGAAATGTGCTAGGGTTGTTAGGAGATTCAGGCTCAATACAATCATATTCATCAAGTGCCGGCATAGATTCACTCCTAGAGTTGCACAACCAATCCATGATAGGGTTGCCTTCATTATACATAGCAACTTCCATAAAGATGCTACAAGGATCGAAATCCTCTTGTTCAACACATGTAGTGTTAACACATTATATTGAGTAGCATAACAGAAAAAAATCAATTATGTGCTACTGTCATGTAGCACCAAATACAATGTTCATTTTTAGATATCATAGATACAATTTGTAGGCATCAAGTTCATTCAAAATCATTACAGTCAGCTTGCAGGTCATGCAACACCACATGCAGTGTTTGTTTAACATATTTTCTTGAATTGCATAACAAAAAAATCATTTATGTGCTATTGTTGTGACAAAAGGAGTTCAACTATTGGCATTGGCAAAACCTCTATAGTTCATTTTAGATATCATAGATAAATTTTGTTGCCATCAAATTCATTCAAAATTATCATTCAAATAGCTTGGTGGTCATCAATATGTGCACAACAATTGAGAAAGTTAAACATTTACTATGAATCTCCCATAGTCATACTACAATGTGTTGATTTACCATTTTTTGCAACCACCTCAACCGCAGCACTAGTGTCTATCATCGGCACTCTACCAGCAACACCACTCGACGAAGCATCACCCTCGCCTCGAGTAGTAGGTTGACAAGCTGGAGGGCGTGAACGTGCATCATCATCCCTACCCCAATCACTATCATAGAAGAGACGCACGTCCTGGCAGACACACACAAAAAGCTTGAAATGAACATGTCAAACAATAGACTCTCAAAATCAAATGGAAATAGAGCTATTGTACCTATGGAAACCGAGGAGTGAGGTCGTGAGGATGGAGGGCAACGTTGGGGAGGGAGACGAGTGGCACCAGTGCAGCAACATTGGGGAGGGAGACGAGCAGCAAACAAGAACAAGCAGCATTGAAGCACCAGTGCAGCTCCTGCACGACCAAGCAGCCTTGGTGAGGGAGACGAGTGGCTGGCGACGGTGACGGCGGCCGTGGCGACGAGTCTGGTGGATGAATAGATAAGCTTTAGGATTAGAGAAGGACCGAGGAATATATATATGGAGGTGGGTATTTGGGCTAGCCATCTGTCGATGCGGGACCCACAGGATACCCCGCAAGAGAGAGAGAAGATCTAGTTCAACTAGGGTTCTTCCCATGTAATCTTAGTAATAGAACTATTAAGTAATCCTACTAGGAAATCTCATTGTAAACCGATTAGGACTCCGGCCTCCTGAATATATAAAGGAGGCCGAGCTCTAAAGAAGGGGACAATTGGTACGACATAACACTTCATAATCAATCCAACGCAAAAGGCAAACGCCGATTTGGGCGTAGAATTCGTTACTCGATCTACGATCGAGGGCTGAACCAGGATAAATCGATCGTCTCTTATGTTCACCATCGAGTTCAAAGATACTGCAAACCCGAACGATCATCGCCACGGTACCCCCCCGTGGTAGGCTATCGGTGGTAAAACATCGACAACTGGCGCGCCAGGTAGGGGACTTCAGCGACTTTGCATCCGAGAGCTCGATGGACCTCAATAACATGATCTTCCCGACGGGATCGATTTTCATCTTTGGCTCGTGGATCTGCGAGGCGCATAACTCTGACAAAGCTTCAAAGTCATCTCCTCAAAGATCCGGATCATCATGAAGAATCCTCTATTTCGACAACTTCGACGGATCAACTCATCGTAAGATTCACGTGACTCATAATACCCGATTCAATAAGATTCCATCCGACTCGAATTCAAGCTCCGTATCCGAGATGAAGTCTTATTCGAGTGCTTTCAAGAAGTCGAGTTCTTGTTTGGCAAGATTCCAGAATACAACCCAAAACAACTCGGATTACCCTCGAGTTTTTTCAAAAGGCCGAGTTCTTTTCCATTTGGGCTGGACAACACGACAAAATCCTATCGTGGACAGCTTTGAAAGGTCTTTCAAATCAACACTTGGGATACCACCGACAGAGCTCGGAGGGTCTCGTTCTAACGATAACATCGCAAGATCAGATCATCCATCGCCGTGATCTGCTCTCGAGGATAGCGGAACCCAACTAGTCGGCACAACGACAACAAATATTCTACCTTACCAAGAGGAGACTCAATCTCGACGTCGAGGCGCTGCTCAAGTCATCAACAACTCCGGCGGTATGACAACTAACGACAATAACGGAACAGCTCACGCACGGGGAAGTGTTGATGGTTCGACGCCCTCGGTCGCCATTAAACCCCCCGAAGCACCCGATGTCGTCGTCATCGATGAATCAATCCAATATATCACCCTTTGCTCGTGGCTACGATGGAGAAACCGAAAGTCGAGAGGCAGTGCTCGAGAAAGGAAAAACAAGTTGAAACAAGGGCGCCAAAGACCACAGCTTTCGACAAACAGAGAGAAGCTGGACTAGATACTGAGTCGAATTGGTGGTGAATCGACAAAAGAAAATCACAACAAGAGGTCAAGGGAGACGACAAAGAGTACGCCCTTACGATAAGATTCGAGAAGCATTAGAAGAACTCGGGGCAACTTCACATCACGGGGAGAAGTACGAACAGCTCCAGGGACTTGCTCCGGTCAACGATCCCAAGAACACATGAAGAGAGAACCCGATCAAGAATACCGCCAGATCAACAACCCATAGGCAAGAAGATCAAAATCAAAGGAAGTCCGCTTTTGAAAGACTTGGACCAAAGTGGAAGCCATAACGGGGAAAGCGTGAGGGAACATAGTCGGGGCCATCAATTTGAACAACCAAGGAAGACCAGGAGTAGAGGGCCTACCCAGACAGCCTCGCAGAATTATTCACATCAAAACAACACTTGGCCAGAAGAAGGAGCCGAATCCGAATTCAAGGAAGCCGGAACGCATGATGATTCCCCCGCTTTGCAAACAAAGTTGGCATCGATTCGATTACCTCACAAATTTAAACCGTCTAATCACTCCAAGTATGATGGCAAAACCGAACCAAGACAATGGCTCGTAATATATTCACAATCAATTGAACTAGCCGGAGGAGACGATGATATTAAAACCTTGTTCTTCCCCATGGCACTGGAAACGATGCCCCTCCAATGGTTTGATAAATTGAACCCGGGATCGATCATAACTTGGGAAGACTTGCAAAGAGCTTTCTGAAAATTTCGCAGTATCATCACACACCCGATCACTCATGCCGAACCGAAAGGACTCAAGCAAAAGGGGGGCGAAAGTCTCGAGAAATTACTATCGGCGATTCGGTGAATCGGGGCTCAAGTGCATGACATCACCGAACGAGAAGTAATTGAAGCTTTCTCTCATGGAATCATGGCTAGGTGGCAATTTCAAGATTTCGCAAAGAAAATCCGAGAAACAATGAAGAATTCGAATTTAACAAAGGAAAAAATGATTACCTGCAGAAGAAAAAACACGAGAAAGGTTCCTGGATAGAAGCAATCAAGACAACCCGGATAGGCAAAATCATCAAGTAATGTACATCAAGAAAGAAAGCGTGAGACCGGACAATACCGTGGCAATGGCCGACAAATCAAAGAAGTTTTCTAAACCCAGAAGATATGAAGACATTGAAAACATACGTTGCCCATTACACCCTAACGGGAGACACACCATCAGAAACTGCTACACTTTCAATGATCGATACACGAGAAAAGATAGTAAGGAGAACACCAAAGAGGACAATCACAAGAAAGATGAAGACAACCACGAGGACAAAGGATTTCAAAACCCGGTGGGAACGGTAGCGATAATCTTCTCAGAGCTCCAGATTGCACAAGCAAACGTCAAGAAAAACTAGCACCGCGAACCATCATGACAATGCAGAAACCGGCTACACCAAGATATCTCAATTGGTCACAATATCCAATCCAATTTTCAAGAGAAGACCAATGGACTAGCGTGAGGGAACGCAGCCATTACCCACCGGTTTTAGACCCAACTATTGCCGGATGATCTGCACCAAAGTACTAATCGATGGGGAGCCGGACTCAACATCATCTTTTCGTAAACTCTAAGGAAGATGGGACTACAACTCATTGGGATGATTACACCAACAAGCACTCCCTTTTACGGAATAGTACCCGGCAAAGCAGCCCATGCCACTCGGACAAGTTACTTTACCCGTCACTTTCGAACTCCTGCGAACTATCGAATGAGTTTATCAAATTTGAGGTTGCGGACTTGATTCATCATATCATGCGATCCTTGGACGCCCAAAGACTGCAAAATTCATGGCAATACCACATTACCCGTACTTATTGCTTAAGATGCCAGGGACCCAACGGTATCCTTTCTCTTGAAGCGATTTGAAGCGTGCTTTTGATCTGCGACGTTCAGCGATCTAAATTGCGGCAAAAGCACAGCCGACAATGGGAGAAAACAAATAGCCACAATTGTCAGTAGAGATAAGCCAAGAAGAATTAGAAATACCGCTAAAAAGCCCAAATCATCACACCACCAAAAGAAGCCGACGCTCAAACAAATCGATTTGGGCACCGGCGATACCTCCAAGACAAAGAACCATCGCTGCTCACCTCTCGGCAAAATAGGAACTCACGCCACCAACTTTCTTTGGGACAACAAAGATATCTTCGCTGAAGCCGGCCAAACCTTCGAAAGCAGCCCTCATAGCCACAAACTCCTGATTTTGGATCAATGAAAGGGATGATTCCTCGTCTCTGAAGGTCGCTTTGAGACTTGCTTGCGCTTTTCTTCTTTCCATGAACTGGTGGAAGCAAGAGAGGCGCTAAATAGGATGTAGGATGATGATGCTCGGGTTACTGCAAATGTGGTGGCGGCGGATTTCTAAAAGCTAGGGTTTAAAGGCAAGAGTTGGGCAAAGAAGGGTCTTTAAATAGATTTTTCAAGAATACAAACGGCCCACAAGGCCCGATAAAACACAATGTGGGAATGCGACGGTCCATTTACCGACGCAGTTAAAACAATGGAGGGCACAAATCCATACAACAGTACAAACCAACGGGCAGATTTCAGACTTATCCGTCCAGCACCACGGCAGGTTTATCAGATCGCTACAAGAACAACTCGCCAAAACAAGAAGAAAGAAGGAAG